ATATGAGGCTGTGTGTGTGTGTGTGTGTGTGTGTGTGTGTGTGTGTGTGTGTGAAGGGTACAATTGCATTGCCATATCATGCTATTATATGTCATACATGTCACAAAGTTGGAATTGCAACACCTCCATGAAGCAAGTTTTTGCATGCAGAGCAAACACACGCACACACGATTGGGGTTGAGGGGTTGGGTGCAGTATCTTCCAGCCTTACCTTGGTTTTTTTTTTTTTTTGTGTGCGTGTGGGTCACCATTAGGCACCTTTAAAATTCAGAAGAGGTAACCACAGAAGGAAAGTTACAAGTCACAAAACTCCAAAGAAAAATCTATTTCCATAACAGCCTTGTTGGGTTATGAGGCTGACACTGGGGAACTGTATGACTCCAACATGGAGGGACGTGTGCGTCTATGAGATGGAAACCACAGAAATTGTTAACCATGGCAAATCACTTTTTGTATCCTCACAAACCTAACAAAAACTGAAAGCGAATCGGATTTTGCATTAATGTAGTTTTAAGGAGGAACTTTACACCCTTCACTTACCAAAATCCATTAACCATCGTTACACATTTTAAAGAAAGATTGAAAATAAAAGATGCATACCATCCATTAAACAAGCGTTTTTGTGGTTATTCGTAGTTGTTCACTGTGTTCACACCCGATTTATTCGAATATAATGCTCATTTGTCACCATCTAGCGGACAGAAGGAGTAGCACTGAAAAATGACACAATATGGGCAAAAGCATTGGGAGCACGAACAAAGTGTGGCGTTCTCTTCGTCTGTTATCTCTCAATTAGCGGCTATAACAGTTTCCGCTCTTCCGGTGTGGTTTTCGAAAAGGGGTTCACCCCGAACGCGTTAGAAGGGCTTGAGGTTAAGGGTTTTTTTTTTTTTTTTGCCTAACAAGCTCACCAAATCGATGAACTTTGTTTCGTGCACTTGGTCACAGGCTTGCTTGAGCAAAGAAGAGCCCTCCCCAATCTGTTCCCAAAAAGTTGGAAGAATCCATTGCAAATATAGTTTACAATTGTGAGGAGGAGCACTCACACAACGCGCGCGTGCGTGCGTGCGTGTGTGCGTGTGTGTGTGTGTGTGCGCGCAAACGCATCTGTGTGCAATATGTATTTACAAAGGGTGAAAAAAATGCAAAGCTATGGTCTCTGTGGAAAGCTTTCTGATGAAATGCTACGCAACAGCCATGAGAGGGCTCCTTTTGTGTGCTCTTCGGAGATGTCTGCTCTCACTTGATGGCTTTGTGCAACTGCATGGCTTCGTGACAACTTTGTAACCCCTAACAAGCTCACCAAATCGATGAACTTTGTTTCGTGCACTTGGTCACAGGCTTGCTTGAGCAAAGAAGAGCCCTCCCCAATCTGTTCCCAAAAAGTTGGAAGAATCCATTGCAAATATAGTTTACAATTGTGAGGAGGAGCACTCACACAACGCGCGCGCGTGCGTGCGTGCGTGCGTGCGTGTGTGTGTGTGTCTGTGTGTGTGTGTGTGTGTGTGTGCGCGCGCAAACGCATCTGTGTGCAATATGTATTGACAAAGGGTGAAAAAAATGCAAAGCTATGGTCTCTGTGGAAAGCTTTCTGATGAAATGCTACGCAACAGCCATGAGAGGGCTCCTTTTGTGTGCTCTTCGGAGATGTCTGCTCTCACTTGATGGCTTTGTGCAACTGCATGGCTTCGTGACAACTTTGTAACCCAAAGACACAGACAGTTCCAGTCAGGCACATTGTGTACACTCGCTCTGAGAGTGGCTTTGTACATCACTACTAATGGGACAGCTATGTTCTGAAAATCTCTTTTTGATTATGTATGATGTGGATGATGTTCGATAGTAGGGAGTAGGACTTTAGAAAAAAAATGTTTGAATTTGAGTGAAAGAAAGAACCCAATCAAGTTTTAAAGAGTGTTACAACTGTCAGTGTGCCTAGTTAGTCATTTTGTTTTGCAGTGAAAGACACACAAACACAAATTATGTATGATCTTGATGCCAGAGAATCTCCGAAGACATAAGAGACAAAACATAAGACTTAGATAACTGATTTCTTCGTGCAGTCAGCTGTGGCCACAGAGGTAAACTATGTCGTGCATGTCCGCATGTTTATATGAAGACTTCTCATTTTGCTTTGATGCTCAAGGGACCATGCAGGCTCTGACTCATTATCAGGAAATGAAACGGAGAGCATTGGGGGAGGCAGCTGGTGGTGTGCGATTCACATATGGAGACACTTTGGTTTGGTTCCAAAGGAATATACCAAATGGAAGCAAGGGAACACTGGGGTGTGTTTGGTGGGACTACTGTTACATATATTAGTCTTAATGGGAGGCCAAATGAAAGTTTGCAAGATGTGTGTTAGTCACTGATGGCAAGATCAAAAGTTTGATGTAATACATGGTACACTGAAAAAAATAAAAGTGGTGGATTCAATTTACTCAATCTTAGCTTTACATATTCAATAAATCAGTCAATAATAATTTAGGTTGACCATGTGCTGATTATTAAAAGGAGAGGATTTTTTTTTTTTTTTGTGAACACACTGCAAAGAGAGAGTTTTTGTTTAAATGTGCCCCAGGCAACGTTAATTATTTGACTGACAACATGTAATCTCAAGGAATGTGTGGGTTAAATGCCTGAAGGCTGTACACATTTTTATAGAGCATGTTGTATGTGATTAGCAATTTCTAAATTCAAATTAATATTTGCTTGGTTCCCATCAAATGATATAACTACTCTGCATGGGACTTTAAGAAACAAGTCACAGGACATGAAATTCTAGGATGACTTAATGATTTCCAATGACAATACACACACGATGATGCCGCCTCCACCAGCCTTGGGTCCTCTTGGATGTTTTTATAAATGTTCCTATCTGTCCATCATTTCTTCCCACTCTTTTCTCAGAAGGCTGACATTTGAGCTGATTTGTTCTTCAGGCTGGTGTCATGATTCGTGGCTCTTTTGACACCCGACAAGCTTGGACTAGACCTGTGTAGGCTCAAACATCAAGTGGATAATATTTACGTAAACTCTGACTGCTGTGCATTTTGTTTTCCTATTCACGACCAGCATTTACATATATTTGCATGTACCATATATGTGGGCATGATCATCTTTTATTCATCTTTAAACATCAACCATCCATCCTCACAATCACACTTAGGGACAAGATAGAATGTTCAGTTAACCTGCCATGCATATTTTTGGAATGTGGGAGAAAACCCACACAGGTACGGGGCAAACATGCAAACTCCACACAGGGAGCCCAGAGTCCAGAATCGAACACCAGACCGCTGTACTCGGAGATGGACGTGCTAACCAGTAGACGAGCGTGCCGCTATTAAAAGGTTGACAAATATTTATAGTTTCCAGAGCCTGTTTATTTCATTTAAAAGTTTAACATATGAAATAAAATAACATTTGAGCCCTAAGTATTAACAAATTAATTATGAAAAAAACATCTTCATTGACATACTTCATAAAAACATCAAATAATTTCTTGTTTTAAAAAGAAGTCTTCTTAGCTGTGTGTGTTCAATGCACAGCATGTTTGCATGCATGTTTGCACTGAGGATTGAGAGGAAGAAATGTCATCTATGCTGCATCTCATACATAAAGCATATTTGACAATAAAGATGACCTTGACCTTGAAGTCTTTGTGAAGAAATGAAACATTTACTAAAATCGTTCCAATATGTCTTGAGAGTATGAGCAGATCCAGAAGAGGTTCTGAACTGTAACTGGGTGGTTTCCACAAAAAGAGCAACACGCATTATTGTCCCTTTTAAACTTACTCATGTAATGGTTGGCCGGATAATATTTATGTAATATGTTAAAATTCACTTGCTTCACCTTATTAGTGAGCAAGTACTTTTTAGGAATAGACCAGGCCTTTTTCCAACCGATATCAAGTGCTTTCTACTTCTACTTTGTACTTCTAATAATGTCTGGTCCGCAGACCTGAGGCACCGGGTAGGTGTGTAGGGGCGGATGAGCACTGAGAGGTAAGGTGGCACGAGGTCATTTAAAGATTTGAAAACACATTTACCCTCGATTTGCTTTGAGAGCTGTCCACTTCCTTCTTTTCAAATATATTTTGCTATCCACCCAAGAAAAGTGTAAACATGAGGGTGCGCTGTGTCCACGGACTAATAGCTTCATGATATAGCAGCATATACTGGATACAGTTAATCAGTGGTTGGATGCCGCACACTGAGTATGTGCATGAGTGCACAGCCATGACACATGACACACCTCTCCCAAGTCAAGTCACATTTATTTATATAGCCCTTAATCACAAATGGTCTCAAAGGGCTTCACATGCCCACAGTTGACAAATATTAACGACGTCCCCTGACCTTAACCCCGAGGAGGGCAAGGGAAAAAAAACCCTCTGGGGAAAAATGAGAAAACTTGAGAAGGGGCAGCAGATGGGAGAATCCCCCTTCCAAGATGACCAGGCTGCAATGGATGTGTGGGCAACATTTGACACAATATTGTACTATACAATGTCAGTTAGAGTGGTATAAAAATGCATGTAATAAGACGAAAACGCTGCAGGGAGGTGGTTGTTCGGCTTTATGCGCCCTGCGACTGGCTGGCAATCAGTTCAGGGTGTACTCCGCCTATTGCCGGAAGACAGCTGGGATAAGCTCAAGGACGGCCGCGACCCTCATAAGGATAAACAGAAGAGAAGATCGATGGATGGATGGATGGATGTTGTGCTGAAATTGATCTATCGTCTGTACTTATTATTTTGCGCGTCTGTACTCCTTGTGCAGAGTATGCGTGATCCTTATTTCGCCACCTGTGTAGCAACGGTCCCTGGGGTCCAGCAATAAATGTAGAGGGGAAACGTAAAAGATATTGAGGCGTTGCAGATGAACATTAGGGCACGCCCACACGTCGTCCTCCATACTTCCTGTAAAAGTCCCGATTGGTTATTCTTAAAGGGGAAGGCATTTAATTAATAAATAAATAAATAAATAAATAAATAACACGCACACGCAAACACACGCACGCGCACACGTGTCAGAACGATATGAGCCATTAACATCGATGGCACAGACAGAAATAACGTTTGCTAAAAAAATTCTTATGAATGTAACAGTGAAACAATGATGTGTGTTTTGTTTTTTTTACCAAAAGCACAACAGCACATTTCTTCGGAAGGCGGAGCCCCACAGAGAAAGCCTATAGCTTCCCCTTTAACTCAGCTAACTCCTCCGCCATGTCGCCACTATCGGCATAACACAAGAGCGGGACGCACCTAACTTCTGCACGCCGGTCTCCCCATCTGTCGGCCGCAACACCTTAAACGCTTCTCCCCTTGCCATGCCCCGCATCGCCTCGCTGTTATCCGCCCTGCTGTTCGTCCACTTTTCGGGCCTGAGCCGGGGCTACTTCCCCGAGGAGCGCTGGAGCCCCGAGTCCCCTCTGCTCGCCCCACGGGTGGTTGTCGCGCTCATCTGCCGCAACTCTGAGCACTCTTTGCCGCTCTTCCTCGGAGCCTTGGAGCGCCTTCGCTACCCGAAGGACCGCATTGCTTTGTGGTGAGTGTCGTTGCTGCAAAGTCACCAGTATAACATTTACATTGAATAACAGACTTATCTTGACAGGCAAGCGATCGTGAAGTATTATGAAGAGTTTACCAAACCAACTTAACCAGTGTGAGATAACGTCTGTTTTTGTTGACATCCTTTTTTGCTCTCATTCTTTTCAGTATAGTTTACCCTGATAATATATCTGAACATCTGCTGTGCTTTTATAACTGTTGTAATAATTGTTTGATTGCTTTAGTTTATGCATGTATTGGCGAACAAGAAGTGAGAATCAGCTCGGAACGATGCACGATAAAGAAGTACAGTCCTCTGGGCCCTCTGCGCTAGTCGAGTCGTGCCTGTGAAAAAGTTCCATTCAGTTTGGGATTCTCTCTCATTCCCCCCTCTGTCCCTGCCCCTCTTTTCCTGCCACATCTTTCGACTCGACTGGAAACACCGCCTCACTCCTCTGCACTCCACAATCCTGGAGCAAAAACTCCAGTGTAGAAGATTTATGTCCTTGTGTCCCAGTCAGAGGTGGCAAAAGTTCTCACACTCTGTACTGAAGTAGAAGTACCGGTACAGATACTTGTGTAATATAAAAGACCTTGCTACAAGTTGTATGGATTTTAACTCCTGAACTAAAAGTAAAAAAAAAAATGCAGGCTCTGAAAAGTACTTCAGACCAAAGTTTAAAAAAAAAACACCTCCTGACTGTCAATTATCCATTCATCCATTTTCTACACCGCTTATCCTGAGGAGGGTTGCAGGGAATTGCTGGAGCCTATCCCAGCTGACTTCGGGCAGAAGGCAGGCTACAACCTGAAATGGTCGCCAGCCAGTCGCAGGGCACATACAGAGACAAACGACCATTCACACCCACACCATCACTGAGTGGTAACCGATCCCACGCCGCTTGCACACAAGTCAGACGAGAGTACCACTACACCCCCACTGACTGTCAGTTATGACAAAGCTAATTTTGATTACCCCCCCCCCACCCACACACACACAAACACAAAAGCTTCTGTCTTTAGTACTCATACAGAGCAGAAGAAAAAAAATATGGATACCTCATGCTGTCGAAAAGTTCGCGAGAGTCAACAAAGCATGTTCTTAATATAGCTTTGGTGACTATGTGAACTGCCTCAGAAAAGATGCTAAATTAGCTGAGGATATCAAATGAAAAAAAATCTTAAATTGTACGTGTGTTTTTTTTTTCTTTTTAGATGCAGAAGCTAGTGGTTTTTAGGTTGTGGTATTTGCCACAAATTACACTGGGCAACAGCAAATTTTCATCAGAGATGGCTTAATAAGTCCTTAAATGCATTTATTTGGCGCTGGCTTTAAAAGAACGTCTTCACTTTTTATCCCAGTGGATCAGGCTTTTGAGATATCATATTTTTGAGTTTTTAAGATATTATTTTTTTTAGTTTGATATATAAAAGCTGACACAATATGGATTTCAGCATGCCTTGTAATTTGTAGCCATGATGTTTCAGAAAAAATTCCACCTGTTGCTCAACCTAACTATTTTACATAATAATAATAATAGTAATTTATTATTATTATTATTATTCAAAGCTATAATACTCGAGAATAAACAAGGGAATATTCATAATCAGTGCGAAACACCTGCATCTCTGATTTAAAAAAAAAAGATAAAAATTTGCTGATTTGTGTTATTTAGGATCTGAGAATTAAAAAAAAAATTCTAACAGTTCTTGTAATTAAGGCCAGACTATGGTGCTTCTCCGAATCTATTGCTTTTGTCATAAATGTTCCCCCGTTCACGTTCATCCATGCTGCTGGTGTCCCTGTTTTTTTCCACCTTATTAAAAAAAAAAACTACGATCTCATTCAGTCAAGATCCAACAAGTTAACCAACCACATTTTTTCTCTAAGTTTACATCTTTTTTACCTAATGTCATGATCTACAGAATTAGAAAAAAGTAACGAGCCTTTTTTTGACAAAGTAACGAGTAAAGTGCAGATGTGTTTTCAAATGCAGGGAATCAGAAAAATAAATACTTAGGTAAAGTACAGATACTTCCTTCATACTTTCTTACCTTTTACCACTGATCCCAGTATGTTATTTTTCTCCCCGTTTTATCCAGTCTCGGTCTTCCAGACTTTTTATTGTATCTGAAGCTTACGCCCTCTTGTTTTCATCATGTGCCAGTAGACCTGCGTTTTAGAGATGAAAGTAATCTTTTCATCAGCGTTCACATTTGACAGGTTAGATTATATTTTGGCACTCAAGTGGTTTAGCAAAGCAATGGTGCATGAAGAGCGTCAAGCAGACTAGAGTGTAGTTAAAATAATGGAGTGCCTTTGAACTAAATTTATACAAAAGTGAATATATTGTTCATTCGAGTGAGAGGGCTGTCTCCTTTGAATGTTGAATTTAGTTTCAAACCAGTATTCATCGGTTTTCTTGCATTCTGGCCAAAGTTTAAAATTGGTATATCCACGTGGTAGCTTGAGCACAGCTCTTTGTCTTGCGTTCTCTGTTCAAGACCTTCTAGAAAGTTTCATAACATTAACTCAGTGGCCCTAGCCACCTGTCAATACCTGCAGCTCTCAACCTGACAGTTGAAGATAAAGCACCTTGGCAGAGAGCCTCATATAAACACATGGATGTGTATTGTTACGTTGAAAGAGTGTGCTGCGTCGACTTGCAGGATGGAGAATAACCTTCCATTAGGCTTACATTCTTGCCTACCTCAGGTCTCTACCATTGTTTAGGTCTGTTTTTGCTGCTATTGAACCAGTGCCATGTGAACTGGCAAGAAACTTGATTTCAAGACAGCATTCTTCTTTTCCAAAGATTAATTCGGTGGGGCGTCCAACTTTTATTGTCCCTGAAGTAGTTCACATTCCGAATTCCTAAAGCCTTCATCTTTGGGTAAAAGTTGCCTCTCAAGTCACATAACACAGTTTCAAATGCCTTTAAAAAAGTAGAATAGTTTTGCACTTACTTGGGATTTTTGTGTACTTTATTATTAAGAATTTTTTCCCAAAAGAGGGACTGGTTAGCTTCTTTTGGCATTTTTGTATTAGTAAAGTGAGATACAAGAGGCACCTCTACTTCATGACTCACCTTAATGTGATTCATTTAATTGTGGTTCAAGTCGCTGTAAGAGCAAAATTGACATTTTAATTTAACACACCGCACGGAAGAGTCTTGTTCACGGTCCTATAGCTGGAAGGCAAGCTTTATTTTTCCAGGACTTTGGAGACTCATTTTGTATATTTGGCCATTTTTTTGTTGATTCGAAATTGTCAGGCTTGTCAACCATACTTTTGTGTTCTGACAAATTTGCAAGAAATTTTCTTGATGGGGTCTTTCAGGAGATTTGTTTATTCTGTGTGTTGGCCAAATTTTGCATAATCTACTATCAATCCATTTTCTAGACTGCATGTACTCACTTGGGTCCCATGTTAGCTGGTGCTTGTCCCTGACTTTAGGCAAGAGCAAACACGTCCCTAGACCTCAGTCTTTAGAGGGGCACATGAAATGCGGGGTGAGATGGGGGGGGAGGCCAAATATTTTTATGACACTACAAACAACTGCGTACGTCCATGTGTCAAATGCAACTGTACAAACCTTACTGCATGTGTGTATTTAGTTATTTATTTATTTTTCTGAGAAATTAATTAATCATCCCTGGCTTCAGACAGGTCCTCTCACAATTTATCCTATGTTATTGCTCAATGCACTCATGATAGGAAAATGAAGCTTCAAGATTGTTTCATGAACCAGTTGTGTTTTTAGAGATCTGTGCCTCAAGTTGGGCGGGGTGGGTGCAATCAACAGACAAAGGCTGGTACACATTTTTCCAGATTGTGTCGCAGTTGTCACAGATATACAGTAGACTACAGCAGCCTCACATACGTGCCTACGTGGCAATCATGTTAGCAGGGGCGCCTTTCCCATCAAAGGTTATGGAAAGCATGGCCATTAGCTTAGCATCACAGTAAATAGATATTTATTTACAATAATTATGTGCTGTGCTTAATATTTTTAGGCCACAGTAAAAATACAAAACAATTTTGTACTGTTGTATTTTTAATGCACCAAAAAATGTACTTCAAGTTAACAGACAATTCTCTACCGCTCTAATTCTTGATCTCTTCCCCCCAGTTACTACATCAAATTGAGCTTCCACTGTACATTAGACTTCAGAGTAGTGCCACGAAAGTTTGTTTTTCAGTCAAAAAAAACAGTTTTATGATTGTTTGTGTAGGTAGAGGATTTTGCTCGACTAAGTGTCATTCTACTGTACCAAATATAGGAAAAAATGTTGTTGCAGCCCTTGTATTGGATCTCATTGGACTGTGCAGGTGTGCTCTACTAGATCTGGATGGTTCCAGGTTCAGGGAAAGGCATGTAGACATTGAAGTGAGCAGTAGAACACAAAAAATGGCTGTGCTTTGAAGTGGTCGCATGTAAACGCTGAGACAGCACTAGAATGTGAGAACACCACACGCAGATGGCAAAGTAATCACCTGCGGCACGCCGTCCGTCAACAGCTACATGATGCCGAAGGCTGTAAATCCATTTCCTCCCATTCCTACACATTCCATGTGTCGCTCTTTGCCCCTGCCCATCAGGCTCAAAGATTTGTTTTGATAACGCAGACAGCGTGCAAGCCGCTTCCACTACTTCTACTCAGTCTTTGTCTGTATGCCGCAGTTCACATTGATGGTACATAGCTATGCCAAAAAAAAAAAATACAGAGCCTGAAAAAAACCTCATCATGTGATGCCAACGTTATGAAATAGGATACCAACCGTATCGTCGTGATACAAATCAAAACTTACCTTCAAATTGGTGCCATTGTGTTGCCTGCATTCTACTACCCTACAAGACTGTGCAAAATTCAGAATTTCAGAAATCAGTTCAGTAGATGAATATGGATTTGAAGTGTTTCCACCCCACAGATTGCTCAATTGAATTTGAATTTGAACTACAGGAAGTGACATTTCATTCGTTCCACTTCAGAAAAACAAACTCACATCATCTCCTAAACAATGTCCAAAATGTTTGGCCAGCCATTTTAAAGACCTAGATAAAGCTAGGTATCAAACCATTGTTTTTTCAATTTTGATGACCTGATTTATCTGAGTAGGCTTTTAATTTGAATAAAAATACAATTACTGTACTACACTGTACTATTGACTATAATTAAGTATCGTGTACGTAAAGTCCTTGTATGAAATTCATGTTGTAAGTAGGCTTATATCCCGCCAAGCTTCATTATTATTCATTCATTCATTATCCAATCCGCTTTATCCACACAAGGGTCGCGGGGGGTGCTGGAGCCTATCCCAGCCGTCTTCGGGCAGTAAGTGGGGGACACCCTGAACCAGTTGCCAGCCAATCGCAGGGGCTTCATTATTAAACACACTTTAATTTTTGCACCATCTATTTCTTGGAATGTCATGTAATTGCAGCTTTAGTTTTCTGGTTCCTGTGTGCCACCTCAAGGGTTAAAGTGGAATGATTCAATTCATTGCTTGTGCTTTTGTGACACCCCTACTTTTTAATTTAAATAGATATTTGAATACATTTCATCTAACTTAAACTACCGCGGACGTTCACGTTTAGAAATTACTGTGCGTCACTGACGTGAGAGTCTTTTGCACTTCTTACAACTGGTTGTGTGCAATTGTGAAGTTATTGTAATATATACGGATCGAGGAGGACACAAAACGATAGTGGCGCTCCGGGCATTTGTGTGCCAGACTAATGAGGTGATTAGATTGCCCTACTGTGATTGATACGGTGTTCCGGATTCAGTCATTGAACCCGTGCAGCCAAATTATATCACCGCAGAATCCTTTTTATGAAGACCATCTTTTATAAGCAGACATTTTAATTAGGCATCAACACCTCTGCTTTTCCGATATATTTAATCAGTGGATCCCATCCAAGTGCCTGGGGTTGTCCCCCACCCTTCAATGAAAAAATGTCTCTGTCCCTCATCTTGCCACAGGGTGGCGACCGATCACAACATAGATAACACCACCGCCCTCCTTCGAGACTGGCTCATCAAGGTGCAGAATGACTATCACTATGTGGAGTGGCGACCAGATGATGGATCCAGGTAATTTTCTTTGTGTGTGGGTGTGTGTGCGTGAATGTGGCTGAGTGACCGACCCCAATCAGTGTGTTTCAGCTCTTAACACCAGTGTCATCTGTGCCCGCCTTAGTGCCTTTGAGGACGAGGTGGGCCCCAAACACTGGAATAATCTTCATTATGAACACGTAATGAAGCTTCGTCAGGGGGCATTGGACACAGCCCGTGAAATCTGGGCTGACTACCTCCTGGTATGTTGTCAGTCAATCACTATCCTGATCGAGTTGCTTTTGTTATGCATCCTGGATTCTGGGTAAATGGATGGTCATTACCACGGAGGCATTTAAATGAAGTGATTATATGGACACGCATGGAAAATAATTTTCAGTCTAACTGAAACGGTTTATATTTTAATGGAGAGTTAATGTCTTGCTTTCTGTTGATTTTAAAATTGAACGGAATGGCCCGACACTGACGGTATGTCCCTGGGAAATGTGAGCCACAGTCTATTTAAACACATGTTTTTCTCACCCGCTTTGTGTCTGACCATTTAAATGGAGGAGATGGTGCTAACAGAGATTTTTGGCACTGGATGATAAAGCTTACATCCTGTTGCTATGGTTACCTGTGTCGAAATGCACATTTTTTTTCCTGGTAGAGCTCCTTCCATATTCAGTATAATTTGCCACCAGACACTTTTCCAGCCAGTACAGTTGTATCAAAACTCACAGAGGTGGTCTTTTCACCAAAGCATTATGTCCACCGGCAGCGTCATGCTCTTTTCTTTGGTGACAGATGGCCGACTGTGACAACTTGCTCACCAACCCAGATGTATTGTGGAAACTGATGAAAGAAAACAAGACCATTGTCGCCCCAATGTTGGAGTCCAGAGCTGCATACTCCAACTTCTGGTGCGGCATGACCTCACAGGTAATGTTGATAGTCCTTTGTGAGCCATTTCACACTGTGTTCGGTTATATAGCATCCAATCCACATGTCCTTAAAATTTGAAGAATTGCCCGAATGCCCGGCCTTTGTCGAGAACATCATTTCACTGATATTCGCTGGGTGCAATGAATTAGCATTGAAAGAAATTATTAAATTGAATTACGTACTAAATGGAGCCGAGAGTCACTCATAGGCCAAATCTGTATTTGCATATTCGTTGGCCATTTAACTGTCTAATCCCAAATCCATTCCATCGGCTTTACGAATTGTCTGATAAGGCAGGCGTGTATGTGTCACCAAACGGTGTATTTTGATCTCACTGTGCTTTTACCCTGTCATCGCTTATCCACTTTTGGAGGCCTGATTTCGAACTGTGGATATCCGATTCCAGATATTTTTTTCAATTTACGCTCCCATGACGCATATCCAAATCGTGCCACTTATGAGCAAAATGCCAGAATTTTGTCTGTGTCAATTCAGCATTCATCTACACCCACACAGATGTTTGTTTTATGAAAAAAAAAGATGACTTAAAAACACATTTTGTCACATGTTTGAGAGAGTTTGTTGTGATCCACTGGAACCAAGGTTAAACATTTTGACAGGTACGTTTGGCGCAAACACAACACTTCTCATCACCCCAAAAACGCCATAACTACAGTGAAGCGTTGTGATGGCAGCAACATGTTTTAGGGCTTTTTTTTCTCCAGCTGGAACTGTGGCCTTTGACTCGGTAGAAGAAATGGTCGGTGAACTGTTGGAAATACAAGTCAGTGTTCGCACGAAATATTCAGTCATTTACTCTGAAACAAAAAACAACAAAACAAAAGTCAGGAAATACATGTTGGTCTAACTGAAATTTGTTTGGGGTTAACCAAAGGCACTTTAAATGGTGGCACGTATGTGCCGATTCCATTTAACCTGAGTTTAAATGTAACTTGTCAATTGTGAACACAGCCACATTCCTGTTGTAAGAGGATGTGCACACTTTTGCATCCGTATTATCTCAGTTTATTTTTACTTCTTGAAAGGAGGAATTTAAACAAAAAATCAGTGCACTCGAACAGCTTACAGGTCATTAATTGTGGAAAACGTTTTGAAACGATTTATCTCAGTCTATTTTTTTCCGAGCGTCACCAAAATATTGCATTTGAACATGGTTGGGTAGAAATTTAAAATCAACTATAAGCACTGTTCCTCTTGGTTCAAACAGTACTCTTTGGGGAGGAGAATAGAAATATCATGGAACATCCTGTCTCCTTTTCCAGATGATGAGAAGTGAGCATTAAAATGTTTGTCAAGGCATGCTTTAAGATTCAGCTCTTGTATGCAATCGGATTGGATTTTCCAAGTGTATCAAAGTGCATCATACATATGTTGCATGCAAATGCTCACTATTGCTATCTCCCTGAGAGGTGATTTCACCCGATCCATGTCAGCGTTTTTGTCCACAATGTATGCGCAACTTAAGGCTCCCTTGAGCAATATTGCGCGTCAGGAAGGAGAAATGCTTTGACACGGGCCGTGAGTCTGAATTCCAAACACTGGAATCTCCTCGCTAGTTGCAAAACAGATGTTCAGCTGCACCAAAGGAAATTATGGTGACCATCTACAAAAACAAAAACAAAAATGTATGAATCGTGATTCTGATCATGTACTTTCCTCGATATATTGCATGTGCCACTTAGCATTTATACCAATACCAGAATCTGTAATATTTAATCTGTGCAATCAAATGTGCAGAAAGAGTTTCTTTGTCATGATCGGTGAATGAGGGCAACCATCTCGGCAGGGCTACTACAAGCGAACGCCAGCCTACATACCCATCAGAAAGCAGGAGCGTCTTGGGTGTTTTGCCGTACCGATGGTCCACTCGACGTACCTGGTGGACTTACGGAAGCAAGCCTCTCGTCAATTGGCGTTTTACCCGCCACACCCGGAGTACAGCTGGGCCCTCGATGATGTCATCGTCTTTGCCTACTCCGCTCGCATGGCAGGTAATATGGATGAAATGGCTTGGTGGGTGAATGTTACACGTGTGATTTATTTATTATTATTATT